GAAGGCAGCCGAGTGAATAGCCGAGACGAACTGAAGTGAGCGGAACGACATTCGGCTATTCACTCCAGCTCAGTACGGTTGATTTCAGCCGTACATCGGCTGAAATCAGCTGTACATTGGCGGCCTTCAGCTGCTGTGCGGCTGAGCCGAAGTACAGAATGAATTCGACTCAGCCGATCCAACATCTGGATCGGCTAAGCCGAAGCTCCAGCAGCTCACTCGCTGCCGTTCGCCCCTAGGGGCAGAACGGCAGTGAGTGAAAAGCCGAATGCCGAATGCCGCTCAGGCACGTGGTACCGAGCAGAATAGAAAATCAATGAAAAAAAAAGGTTGAAAAATGTAAATAAATAGTAAAATTTAAAAAGAAATAAAGATTTTTTTTAAAAAGAAAAAAAAACAATTGGGCGGAGCTAGCAGTGACAGCTAGCACTGCCCAACTGTTTCCTATTGGCAGGCACCTGCTAGAGTCTTGAAGTCACGGCCGGCTCCTCCCGGTTGTTATTGTTTAATGGCTAATCAGTGTCCCCAGGTCATTTGGGGACGCTGATCTGTCATTACAACTGAGCGGAGCCAGGCATGAGATCACGGCTGGTTCCGCCCAGCTGTCATTTTCGGGGCGAAAGGCAGGCCTTCGGCAGGCCGTTCGCCTTGCTTCAGCTGTCACTTGGGCTCAGTCGAGCCGAAGCATATGCCTTCGGCTCTGCTGAGCCACTCGGCGGCTGCATGGGCTATAGTGAATAGCCCGTACAGCAGCCCTTTGGTTCGACTCAAACGAAGGACTCCAGCAGCCGAAGATAGCCGATGGATCAACCGAAGCTACGGCTGGATCCTTCGGCTCCTTCGTGAATAACCCCCATACATTTATTTATTACAGGTATTTATAAAGCACTGACAATTTATGCAGCACTTTACTTACTGCACATTCACACCAGTCCCTGTCCTCAAGGAGCTTACAATCTAAGCTTCCAATCACACATGGATGCATATGAGGGCCAATTTAGACAGGAGCCAATTAACCTGCTATGTCTTTGGAGTGTGGGAGGAAACAGGAGTACACGGAGGAAACCCACACAAGCAATGGGAGGACATGCAAACTCCTTGCAGATAGTGACCTGGCCAGGGATTCAAACCAGGGACCCCCTAGTGCTGGGAGGCAGAAACACTAACTATATATAGGCATATTTAAAGTGATGATGCAGCAAAGTGCAGAGACCCACAGCAACCAATCAAATGTCACCAGTTTAGAGATGTCAGAATGATAAAAATGAATGACTCTTGGATGCTAAACGGCTCTGTCCATTTAATAAATATCTGTGCTTCTTGCATGCAGCTGCCATTGTTGACTTTTCATTCTGCAAATCTTAGTTGTCTGGCTGTCACTCTTCAATAGGTCAAAGCGGAGCTCCAATAAAATCCACTTACACTGTCCGCCCCCCCCCCCCTCCCTT